GATTGGTTTCAATTGTGTGATCAGGTTTATTTGAACCCCTAAATACTTTGCGATCATCTCCAAAAAGAAGAGGCTTCTCTGTATCTCTAAATTCAGTCTCATCTATGTGATTAGCTTGTCTACGATATTTGGCTATATTCGTCAACCAAATCAGCATAAAAAAGCCAGAAGTTCGCTTTTGTGTATTTTGCATTTTTCCTGTAAGTTATTTTCAGCGTTTCAGTAGAATGGAAATGTTGGTAGTTTTTCACACAAAAGTAGTGGTCCGTTCTACCAGCTGTCCCAAATTCATGCGAGATTTCGTGTCCCTTGCTTTCTATTTGTGACCTTTATAACGGCTGCAATTAGGAAAACTTTCAGTTTTTGGTCCATTTTAACCCATAAATATTTTGCGATAATCTTCAAATGCAATAGACTTCTATTCTGACTATAACTCCACCTCCCTGTAGAGTGATTACAAATTAACATGAACAGACGGACGGACGGACATACATAGCTAGATCGACTCAGCTCGGCGAGATAGGAAGATCCATATATACTTTCCTATGTGGGATACCAATATTTCGAGATGTTACATAATTTATGGTCCAATCAAACTTATAATACCCCCAACACATAGTGTTGTAGGGCATAAATATCTTTGAACATTTGGGCGTATAATTATTGTTGTATCAGCCCACAACACGTATGCGCAACATACCGCTAACTTACTCAAAGAGTGCAACAAATCTATTATCGGCGCCAAATTGTGTGCAAGATCATGGTTTGAATTATATTACTTTACATTTACATTCGTAAATATAAGTTGCTAACTCAAACTGGCCGTGCTAAACTTTTAGTACACTACACCATTCGGAAATTACATGTTTTAAATGCGTCTATAATTGCCGAGGTCCATTATCCTTGACTTCATTAAGGCTGCACACCACCAGTCGATTTTGATTGGTTAGGCGGCTCGATTAAAAAGCTGCAACCAATTTCAGATTGCTGTCATTTCTAAGCCACTTGTCCGACAGCTGTTAAAATTATTCCAGTGACAACTCATTATATTGTTTACAAGCGTACAAAAGCATTTTGGTGAGAATTTTCAAGAAAAAAAGTTATTTGTGATGGAATTCAAGCGTGATAGTTTGATTTCTTTATATTTGGCTGAAAAACCAAAAGTGGCTATCGTTAGGGCACTTCAGCATTTAAATGTGGATAAGTCGTTTGTGTCTCGTAACATCGCTCTTTACCGTGGTAGCGTAGCCCGACGTCAAGGAAGTGGCCGGAAGAAAACAGCTATAGTAGTGGAAAAGGTTCGAAAAGTAAAGAAGCGACTTGATCGAAACCCGTGTCGCAGTGGCCGAAAAATTATTCGTGAGCTGAACATATCGCAACATTCGATTCGGCAAATATTGAAAAATGAGCTCGGGGTAAAGCCATTGAAATTCCAAAAAAGTGCAAGAACTTACACCGCAACAGAAAGACAATAGACTCAAAAGAGCTATAGAGTTGATTCGCTTGGCCGAAAGTGGTGAACGCCCGAATTTGGGTTTCTCCGATGAGAAAACATTCGTTGTCCAGCAGTTTGCGAACAAACAAAATTATAGTTTTTACTTGACAAAAAGGTCAGCTGAAAATGTCCACCTTCTGTTGGCGGCCATCCGCTTGTATTAATCGACCGTGGCTTTAGAATAAGTGCCGAATATTACTGCGAAAATATTCTGGAGGGTGTATAAAAGCCAAGAATGGTTACAAAATGAGGTTGCTCTCTTCATTTCCAGCGCACAATGGCCACCAAAATCTCAGGATACCAATCCGCTAGATGATTTTGTCTGGAGTATTTTGGAAAGCAAGGTTGGCACTAAAAAATATCCAAGTGTCGATCATCTCAAGCAAGCGCTTCGCCGGTAATGGGCTAAAATACCGCAGAGCAACATTCGGGCAGCATGTGACGGTTTCATTGGCCGTTTGAAGGCCATAATTCGTGCCAGATGTGACCAATTCGAACAAATCTTAACTTATTCCAAATTTGAGGCTATTTCCGACATTTTTTGCTTTTATTCAATAAATTTGTTGTAGTTTTTTTATCTCATCCTGTACATATGGAGACATATGAGGAATTAGTTTTGGACAGAAAAATTGGAAGTAGGGCGGTACAGTGTGCACCACAATCCAGGAAAATCCAGCATATTATTATAGTACAGCAAAAAACAGAGGACACGTGTGTCGAAGTTTTGAAATGTCTAGTAAAGTAAAAAAGAATTGTTTCAAATTCGGTGTTTAAAATTTGCGCAATGGATACTGCAGCCTATGACAGAAAATTGTCTGTGCAGGTCCAGGGCTTCGTATAGCCCCATATTATAGTACCTAACTATTTTTGGTATTCTGATGATTTTAGCAACATTATTCACAAGAAGTGTTTCAAATTTGGTATTTGAAGTTCGTAAGACAGAAAATTGTCTGTGCATTTCCACGTCTTCGCATAGTCCCCATATAACGATACCTCCCTATATTCGGTGTTTTGATGATATTAACAACATTATTCACCGGAAATGTTTCTAATTTGGTATTTGAAGTTCGTAATGGATACTACAGTCTAAGTCAGAAAGTAGTCTGTGCAGGTCCACGTCTTCGTATATCCCCCATATAATGGTACCACCTTTTTTCGGTGTTTTGATGATTTTAAATATATTATTCACAAGAATTGTCAAAAGATGCATATGCAGGTCCACGTCGGAGTAAGGACCGTAATATAACGGCTACATTCGGTATTTTTAAGATTTTAACAAAATTGTTAACGATTTTTTTTTGAGAACTGGCAAATTCTTTCCAAGTGGTGGAGAGTAATCCATGTTCGGCCCGACCTAACAGCTTTTTTACTTGTTACTTTTTTATCTATTTTTCCTCGGATTTTTTTTTTCTGAATTTTGAAAGTAACATATAACATGTAGCACTTTTCCTCGATTCGCTGCAATTTTCTTATAATTTTACTATCAATAGCCAGTCTGGGTTGTGGAAAATGTCAAGTGGATGTGGTAGTACTCATTTTTATATCAAAAAGGAGTTTTGGGTTTTAGGCCATATGTTTTTAAGACCCTTATACATTTTAACTATATTCTAAGGAATTTAGGATAGAGCTTTGAAATTCGATAGAGATCTTTGGATTACATCCAGAATCATTTTCACAATAAATGGGCCGTTTCGTTCCACTTTTTGGAACAGTCCCCTTATAAGGATAAATCCGATTTAAGTATTTTTTTTACATTTCCTTAATTTTCCATTTTGAGTTCTTATTTGTACCATATGGTGGAGCTATGTTGATATTTTTTCACATAGCGACACACGCGTCTTCTTGTTTAGCTCTACGTTCATAATCTGCTGGATGTTCCCAGTTATTATTGAAAAATTGCATTTTGTCACACAAAGTTGTTATAACACTCAAAAAAGTATTATTTTACACATGTTTATACACTACATCACAAGGTGGTCAGGGTATTATGTCTTTGTGCATTTGTTTGTAACAGGCAAAAGGAAACGAGATAGACCCATAGTTCCTTTTGATGATCTGCATAAAATCACATTCTGAGTCTATTTATGCATGTCCGTCGGTCCGTCCGTCCGTCCGTCTGTCCATGTATTTTTGTAAACAAAGTACAGTTCGCATTTATTGCCCTATCCAGATGAAATTTTGCACAAATTATTTGTTTGGCCCAAGGACGAACCCTATTGATAATAATCGGTCAAAATTTAGATATAGCTCCCATATATATCTTCGTCCGATTTGCCTTTTTCTTTGCGCCAAACGTGTAATATCAGTCCCAATAGTATGGAATTTTGCACGTACGATCAGATTGGACCTCAAAATAAGTATGCCAAATTTGATCGAAATCAGTTCAGATATAGCTACAGCTCCCATATATATTGTTCATCCGATTTGTTATTTTTGTCCTCCGCAGCCGTAATATGCACTCTGTAACAACAATATTTGGGGAAATATATCAAATACAGCTTAGAAATACATTTGCTAAATTTTATCGAGATCAGTTCATATTTGGATATAGCTCCCAGATATAACTTAGTCCGATTTACTTTGGATTGTGCACTAAACGTATAATATTTGCCCAAATTGGTTGAAATTTGGCACTTACCACCGAATTGAGTCTAGAAGCTAGTATGTCAAATTTGGAAGATCGGTTCAGATATAGCTATAGCTCCCATATATACTGTTCATCCCATTTGTCATATTTGTTACCCACAGCCGTAATATGCACTTCGTAACAACGATATTCAGGGAAATATATCAAATACAGCTCAGAAATTTTATCGAGATCGGTTCCGATTTGGATATAGCTCCCATATATATTTGTATCCGATTTCAAATTAATTGTGCACCAAATGGGCAATACAAGTCCGAATTATAAAGATAGAAATGCTTCGGCATATTTTGTCATTTGAACTTTAAATTATAATTATAGTCATAGGGTGTATGATTGAATTCTCCCATAAAAACTTTTAATTGTTACTCGCAGCTCTACTAAATTAGCAAAGTGGTGTAGGGTATCATAAAGTCGGCCCCGCTCGACTTTAAGACTTTCTTTACTGGTTTTTAATATCCTTGGGCTGGACGCTGTTTCTATGAAAAAATAAAACGGAAAAGATTTTCTTTACAATTTTCTTATTTAACGTCTCTTTGCTTCATGTAAAACTTCATTTCATATTTTCATAGAACAATAATTGAACACCTAATTCCCATCGATCCTATGCAAATTTAGCAATGTAGAAAGTCAAACTCGCCCAGAGTAGATTTTGAAGCTTTAATACATGTATTGTTGTGCCACTCAATTTATTGGCTTAGTCGGCATAGCATTTTCTAATTTTCTTTACTTGTTTTCGAAATGTCAAAAGACCAAATAAACAATCAAGTAATTTATAAAAATAAAATCATTTTTATCCTATTATTCCGGTTATTACAAATTAATTTTAATTGTTAATAATTTTTCCTTTATCTTTTCCAGGTAACTCAGGTTTAAAAATTGCCATCGACGACGACGACAGCACCAACGAAGAACCTACGCATTTATAGGAAAATAAAAATAAGATAACAATACAACAACAACTACTACTACAAAATCAACAAAACCCCAAGAATTCCATACAACAACGTACAAAACTAAGCACATGCTCAGAAATGAGTACATCCGCAATTGTTGCCAAGGCAAAAGGTAAGTTGACTTATATTTGCGTTTTGTACGATAAGTCGCAATCTCCTCAGAGCCTCTTTCTGGCAGCCACCTACTGCTCCAGTTGCTTTTAGTATTTATTTTGTTTCTTCTGTTTTTTTGGGATAAAACTGTATTAAGGACATTCGCCAAAAACACCCAAACAACCTCAAATGGAGGTCATGTGAGCCTTTAACTGTTGTCAGGTGGTTTGTTCACTTTGTGCTAGAATTTCGGGGAAATTGCTATACTGCGGGCCATCAACCAGAAGTTTCAAGTAAATATTTAAACCTGAACGGTTTACATGTGTGTGCGTGTGTGTGTGTGTGTCGAGAAGCGTCAAAGTGCCTGCAGGCACATATGTTTGCATGTCGTGTCGTGTTCGTTCACCGACAGACACCAATGAATGTTTTTCACTGCTGGATATATGTTTAATGCGTTTTATGAATATGCTTTCTGTCAGGAGATAATATTTTAAGTAAACTTGGGAAGATATTGGGGTGTTGTGATGTTATTTGGAAATTGTAAAAAATGTTTGATATGTGCCCCATGTCGGTGTAAGATGCATATTTTGTAAATTTCTCACATATTCACATGCTGGGCCTCCACTTAGGAATGTATACATGGATCCTTCTATATCGCCTAGATGAGTCGATCTAGCTATGTATGTCCGTCCGTCTCTCCGTCTGTCCAGGTTAATTTGTAATCACGCTACAGGTCGCAATTATGACCCAATCCTCACGAAATTGAGCATTGAGTAACCCCAACTCAGAATAGAAGAAGAAATATACCAAAAAGAAAATGCTTTATTTTTTCAGTTGTTCTGCAGTCCATAATTATAGACCAATCGACGAAGAATTTTTCATGGAGTTTGATTTTAGGGATACCTACCATTTTGGATGGTCATCGGATAAAAAAAGCAGTTAGTTCGGCCGGGCCGAACTTTGAATACCCTCCAGCATTTGAACGAATTTGAAAATTTTCAAAAATTAAAAACGTTAAAAATTCTGTTAAAATCTTAAAAATACCGAATAGATTGTTGTCATAAGCCATTACCATATTTAAATTCGAAACTTGAAATAAACGGTGAATAATGTAGCTAAAATCATCAAAATACCGTACATAGGGAGTTATCCTTACATCGGAGCTACACGAAGACCTGCAAGACTACAAAGTCCGGGACCTGCAATTCCGGTTAATAATGCGCAAAAGTCATCAAAATACCGAATATTGGGAGAAACCGTTATATGGGGACTATACAGGGACGTAGACCTACACAGTCAATTTTCTGTCTTAGGCTGAACTCTCCCCTTGGAACTTCAAATATCAAATTTAAAACAATTCCGATGAATAATGTCGCTAAATTCATGAAAATACGGAATATCGAAAGGTACCATTATAGGGGGGTTATACGAAGATGTGGACCTGTATAGACAATTTCCTGTCTTAGACTGTAGTATCCATTATGAAATTCAAATACCAAATTTTGAATGGTTCCGGTAAATAATGTCGCTAAAATCATCAAAATACCGAATATTGGGAGGTACCGTTATATGGGGGCTATACGAAGACGTGGACCTGCACGGACAGTTTCCTGTCTTAGGCTGTAGCATCCATTCGGAACTTCAAATACCAAATTTGAAATAATTCCTGTGAATAATGTCGCTAAAATTATCAAAATACCGAATATCGGGAGGTACTGTTTTATTAAGGCTATATTAAAACCTGGATAAAAAACTTTAAAGAATATCAGTTGGTTTTGCCGACAGATGTTTACCCTCAGCCTATCTTCGATTACTTAATTATATTTTGACTTGCGTTATAAATATTCAAACTCTTGACCTTGAATGGGCTAATATTGCCCATTTCGTATCGGACCTAAATAAATATGATATGAATATTGCGACGTGCCAGTTTTGAACTATATCGACTGTTTCCTTCACTTTGTAGGATATAGGTGATAATTTTTAGAAAATGTTAAAATGAGCATGACGTACCAGATATAGTCGATCGAAGTATTCCATTTTCATATTTCAAATACAAGAAAATCGAACATTTATATTCAGTTTTATACGAAATCATAAATTCCATTGGGTGAGGTACCAGAAACGATTCACAGACATATATTATCTTCAATGCAGATCTGGTGTTAGCAAAAATGTTTGTGGGTGTGAAGTTTGAAGAGAGTGAGATGCTTATTAGACTTTCTTTGAGCGTTTTGTTTTTAAAAAAACTTCAACCCTATGTTGTGGAGGTACCAGAAGGAATGGTCTGATCTCTACCATCTTTATAGCAGATCATGTGTTGACACAAATATTGAGATATACCAAGTCTAAATGAACCAGGATTTTAATTTATTATCTTAAAAGCTTAAAGGATATTAAAAATGTTGACCCTTTGTGGGGTACCTTCCTCACAAGGAGTGGACCGATACATCCAGTCTTCAAAGAAGGTCTTGTGTTAGTAGGAAAAATAGGATGTCTAAAATAATTATTCAAAATTTTGACCCTTTGTGGGGAAGGTACTTGATGGAGTGGACCGATATTGTCCATTTTCGCACCTGACCTAGCTCTGATAAAAAATTAGGATATTCAATATTGGAGCAAAATCCGATTATCGTTTCTCTTTCTGTGCTGAAAAAATATATATTTTTTTTAAAATTTCGGCTGTTGTGGGGGAGGTACCAGAAGGAGTGGACCGATATATTCTATTTTAACGCTAGACCTTGGGCTACTCAAAATATTGAGATGTATGAAATTTGAAGACAATCGGAATCTTACATCACATTTTATAAAAGTTATAATTATTCCAAATTTTAACCCTGTGTGGGGGAGGTACTTGATGATATGGACCATTTTTATACCCTCCACCGTAGTATGGAGGGTATATTAAGTGTGTCATTCCGTTTGTAACACCTCGAAATATACATTTTAGACCCCACAAAGTATATATATTCTTGATCAGAATAAAATTCTATGTCGATTTATCAATGTCCGTCCGTCTGTCCGTCTATCCGTCTGTCCGTCTGTCCGTCTGTCTGTCTGTGGAAATCACTCTAGCTTCCGAACGAAATGAAGTAGGTTGATAAAATTTTACTCAAATGTGTACTATGTCTGCAGGACTTTTGGTATTGAAAATGGGCCATATAGGTCCACGTCTTCGGATAGCTCCCATATAACTGTACCTCCAGATAATCGGTATTTTGATGATTTTAGCTACATTATTTACCGGAATTGCTTCAATTTTGGTATTTGAAGTTCGTAATGGATACTACAGCATAAAACAGAAAATGGGCAATGTAGGTCCACGTCTTCGTATAGTCCCCATGTAACGGTACCCCCCGATATTCGGTATTTTGATCATTTTAGCCACATTATTTACCGGAATTGCTTCAATTTTGGTATTTGAAGTTCGTAGTGGATGCTACAGCCTATCACAGAAAATTATCTGTGCAGGACCACGCCTTCGTATAGCCCCCATATAACGGTACCCCCGATCTTCGATATTTTCATGATTTTAGCGAACCTATTTACCGGAATTGTTTCAAATTTCGCATTTGAAGTTCGTAATGAATACTACAGCCTATGACAGAAAATTGTCTGTGCAGGTGCACATCTTCGTATAGCCCCCATATAACGGTACACCCCGATATTCGGTATTTTGATGATTATTAACGCATTAATCACCGCATTTGGATATTGTAATGGCTTATGGCAAAAGTTGCCTATGCAGGTCCACATCGTCGCATAAGTTTCGTTCAGAAGCTGGAGTGATTTCCACAGATGGACTGGCATCGCTAAATCGACATAGAATTTTATGCTGATCAAAAATATATATACTTTGTGGGGTCTAAAATGTATATTTTTGAGGTGTTAGAAACGGAACGACAAACTTAATATTCTATTTATACAGGGTGAGATGAAAAAACTGCAACCCACTTCAGACTGCTGTCATTTCTAAGCCACAGCTGTTAAAATTATTCCAATGACATCTCATTATATAGCGTACAATTGCATTTTGTGAGAATTTTCCAGAAAAAAAGTTATTCGTGATGGAATTCAAATGCGATAGTATGATTTCTATATATTTGGCTGGAAACCCACAAGTGGCCATCGCCAGAGCACTCCAGCATTTAAATGTAAATAAATCTTTTGTATCTCGTACCATCGCTCGTTACCGTGATAATGGTAGGGTAGCCCGATGTCAAGGAAGTGGACAGAAGAACACAGCAACATCAGCAGAAATGATTCGAAAAGTAAAAAAGCGACTTGATCGATACCCGCGTCACAGTGGCCGAAAAATGGCTAGTGAGCTGAACATATCGAAATATTCCATTCGGCAAATATTGAAAAATGAGCTCGGGGTAAAGCACTTGAAATTGCAGAAAGTGCAAGAACTTTTACCGCAAAGGAATGAAAATAGACTGAATAGAGCTAAAGAAGTTGCTTCGCTTGGCCGAACGTGGTGAACTGCCGAATTTGGTTTTCTCCGATGAGAAAACATTCGTTCTCCAGCAGTTTTTAAGGGGGTCAGCCGAAAATGTGCAACTTCGATTGGCCACCAGAACTCAAGCGCCGGCCATGGTGATGGTTTGGGCCGCCATAACAGCCGATGGTCGCTCTCCGTGGCATCTGAATAAATGCCGAATATTATTGCGAAAATATTCTGGAGGGTGTATTAAAGCCCTGGGCACGCAAACATTTTGGCCGTAGACCTTGGACTTTCTAGCAGGACTCAGCGCCATCGCACTCAGTACGCGCCACCCAAGATTGGTTACAAAATATGATTCCTCTCTTCATTTCCAGAGCACAATAGCCACCAAAATCTCCGGATACCAATCCGTTGGACTATTGTTTCTGGAGTATTTTGAAAAGCAAGGTTGGCACGAAAAAAGACCAAAGAGTCGATCACCTCAAGCAAGCGCTTCGCGGGAATGGGCCAAAATACCGGAGAGCAACATTCGGCCAGCGTATGACGGTTTCATTGGCCATAATTCGTGCCAAAGGTGACCAATTCGAACAAATCTAAAGTTATTCTAAAATTTGATACTATTTCCGACATTTTTTGCTTTCATTCAATAAAATCTAAAAAAATGTAAAAATTATGGCGTTTGACTTTGTTGCAGTTTTTTATCTCACCCTGTATACTTTCAGTATGATCATAGGTGGTATAATAAATATCCAGTGTTTTGAGTTAGAAGAATAAAAGACACATGCTTACACTCCAACCTAACACACAACATCCCACTCAAACTTTTCCCTGATTAAAATAATAACATTCATATGAATAAAGAAATATGCGCATCCACTCTCAGTTAAATTACGAAATTAGTAGCATATGCCACGTTTCAGCATTCTGACAGTTGAAAGTGAAAGTTAACGCTTTCAGGTGTCTGGTGTACTTTCGGAATGCGTTGTTGTGTGTGTGTGCATAAATGTTTTGTGGTTCTGCAAACTTTTTTTTGGTTTGTTTGCCATGTGTGTTTGTGTTGAGGTTTTATTATTTTGGTAATTTGCCACCGCCACCTCTCAACCTACATGCATATTTATATAAATATAAAATGATAATTACATGATTTTTTTATTGCCAACACTTGTTACCTGACCAACCACCTTTAAATTCTTTTTTATTTTAACTTTCTCTCTCTGTTTCTGTGTTTTCCAGCTTTTGTCTGTCTCACCTCATTATCGTTGTTGGATATTACTTTGGTAACCACCAGCGCACTACTCCTATTACTGCCATTGCCGCCAGCAGCCACAGCCACAAGCGGCTTACGTGTACCCACCTTCCTGCAGGAGCCCCCCTCACGTTTGCTCTTTGGCAATGACACTGGTAGCCAGGCTAGTTGCACGGCACACGGCAATCCACCGCCAATTGTTTCCTGGGTGCTCAGCGACGGAACAATGGCCACACAAGTGCCAGGACTTAGGTAAGTTTTGATGTTGGCATTAACGGAGCAACTAACGGTGTTTTGAGGTACCGAGGCCATGCTTGGTTGGTGGTGGCACCAACACGTGGCAGAGTACACTTAAAGCCGCCCGCATATTATAATAATATTTATTTGTAATTGTGTGTGTATGTGTGCGCGTTCAAATGTATGCTTGTTGCACACCTTTTTATTCGAAAAAAAAAATAAAATAAAAGTAGTTAATGGGACAAAAATGTAGGTTTTCGGCTAATGAAGATAGGGGCCTTATTTACGCATGCAGAAATAATAAAGTAGCTGAGAATATTATTATAATTACAACATGTGTAAATTGCCATTACAACGTGTGCTTTTAATGACATGTGTACAGATGTGAAGGATTTTTTATGGTCTCAAAAATAGTCATTACCAACACTTCAAAGCTCTATATACCACGTTTTCGAAAACGAAGAGTGGGAGCCCAATATATTTGAAAGAAAGAAGAAAAAATACTTCTAAGAAACTCATAATTCGAGCCATACTCTCCACCATATAACAATTTTAATTGAACATTATTCCGTGCACCTAAACAAAGTCCGATATAATATATTACCACAAATTTGAAACTCGTTTTATATGGGATATATGTCAGATCTTTATTTTATTTATTTATTTTCTTAAATATTTGAAGGGGAGGTAGCAGAAAAATTTTACTGTTGCAAAATGGTCAGGCTTATCCCTTTATTGTTGTTTTTATAAAAACAACGTTTGTTTTTTAGTGGAGAACGATGGTAATGTTTACCAGGGGGTAAGGCAGGGAATACCTAGGTTTCGGAAAGAGCCACCAATCCTCATCAGTTCCCTTGTTTTTTGTCTGGGATATTCTCCCCAGAAGTTATTTTAAAAATAACTTCTATGACAAAAAACATTTTTTACCCAAGTGACGAGATCGTAAGCTCAATAGAAGAGGAACCAAAGAATTAAATAAAACTAAAATTCATTTGGAAAGTCTTCTAAATCTTACAACCGCACTTATAAACATTTACATCTTTCTCCACTTGTAATGCTTTCGTTCAACCTGAACGAAGTAGCATAACCATGTAAGTTGGTTTTGTCTGTTACAACAAAAACCCCTTCCTCGACCGTGCCTTGTCTATAAATAGAACAGTGTGGCTTGTTTGTTCGGGATACCGTAGTATTTTGTTGTTGCAAAATGGTCCGGCTTATCCCTTTATTGTTGTTTTTATAAAAAAATTTACCCGTATGTATATTGAAATGCTTATGCGTATGACTCCCTTACTCTGACATCTCCTCAAAAAAGAAAAAAACTCAAATAACTGCAACAATCGGCTACCTGTTTATGGCATCTCTCCTGTGCCATGACAAAAATCAGAAAACGGAATACAACCAATTTTAACTCTAGCGCTGTAAATATTCTCTTAAAATATCATTTTTTTTTCATTTGAAAATTTGTAAAGAAATCGAACATTTATTTCAAATTTTATGAAAAAAAAAATGATAATCAAAATGTTAAAATTTTGAGGGGAAGGTACCACAAGGATGGGGATATATATTTCTTTTTCTCATTTGATAAAGTTATGAAATATATAAATATTGACAATTGTGACCCTTTGTGTTGGAGGTACCAAAAGAAGTGGATCGATATATCCCATCTTTCTCCCAGATCTTGTGTTGGTGGAAATATTGAGATGTGCAAACCTTGAATATAGCAGGACTCTTATTTCATATTTTATAGGAGTTATAATTAAAGTTTTGACCCTTTGTGGCGGATGTACCAGAAGGACTAGGCGGCTCACTACATCAAGTACCTCCCCCACAAAGGGTCAAAAATGTCGGAAATAGCATCAAATTTTAAAATAAGTTTAGATTTGTTCGAATTCGTCACCTTTGGCACGAGTTATGGCCTTCAAACGGCCAATTTGGCCCATTCCCGGTGAAGCACTTGCTTGAGGTGATCGACACTTTGGTATTTTTAGTGTCAACCTTACTTTCCAAAATACTGCAGACACAGTAGTCCAACGGATTGGTATCCGGAGATTTTGGTGGGCATTGTATTGTGCGCTGGAAATTAAGTGAGGAACCTCATTTTGCAACCATTCTTGGTAGCGCGTGCCGAATGCGATAGTGCTGAGTCCTGTTGGAATGCCCAAGATCTGCGACAAAATGTTTTCGTGCCTGAGGCTTTAATACAACCTCCAGAATATTTTCGCGGTAATATTCGGCAATTATTCCGATGGCGGTTATGGCGGCCTACACCATCACCATGGCCGGCGCCTGAGTTCTGGTGGCCAACCGAAGATGCACATTTTCAGTTGAACTCTTTGGCAAGTAAACACGATTATTTTGTTTGTTTACAAACTGCTGGACACCGAATGTTTTCTCAAGGGAGAAAACCAAATTCAACAGTTCATCACTTTCAGTTCATCCAAGCGAAGCAACTCTTTAGCTCTTTTGAGTCTATTTTCTTTCTGTTGCGGTGTAAGTTCTTGCACTATTGGAATTTCAACGGCTTTACCCCGAGCTCATTTTTCAAAATTTGCCGGATGGAATATTGCGATATGTTCAGCTCGCCATCCATTTTTCGGCCACTGCGACGGGTTTCGATCAAGTCGCTTCTTTACTTTTCGAACCATTTCTGCTGATGTTGCTGTTTTCTTCCGTCCACTTCTTTGACGTCGGGCTACACTACCAGTATCAGGAAAACAAGCGATTTCACGAGACACAAAAGATTTATACACATTTAAATGCTGGAGTGCTCTAACGATAGCCATTTGTGGTTTTCCTGCAAAATATAAAGAAATCACAATATCCCGCTTGAATTCCATCACGAATACCTTTTTTTCTGGAAAACTCTTATCAAAATGCTTGTGTACGCTTGTAAACAATATAATGAGATGTCACTGGAATAATTTTAACAGCTGTCGGACGAGTGGTTTAGAAATGACAGCAGTCAGATGTTGGTTGCAGTTTTTTCATCTCACCCTGTATCTTATATAAAGTATAGGAATAGTCCAAGTTTGGCACGTTGTATTGATTGATTTAGGTCACATACAAATTGAACAATATTGGCCAATTGCTTCGGAACCTCCTCCGTAAAGGGTCAACAATGTAAATATTTATAACTTAAGGCTGGAGGTGTAAATCTGTCGGAAAATTTTATTAATCAAATGATATATATCCCCTGTAGCCATATAACTGAGGGTATAAATCTGTTTCAAAGATTTCGTGGGCAAATATAGTGAAATTTTTTTGAAACATTTTTTTATTTTTTAAAACAATTTTAAAAACTTTTTGACCATAATCTGTTATTAAAAAAATATTTTAAGATTATCTGGCCAATAATCCGAGATTTTTTCCTTGCAGAACACTGCAAATTTTTAACGACATTTTTTTCTTATACCAAAAATGGTGGACTTTTCAATATTTTTTTGGAAGAAAATTAGGTGTTAATTTATCCTTGAACATTTTCAAAATATTTAGTTCATGAATTGCTCACAATTACATTTGTTATTTCTATATGGAATCCGACTCGTCCCTTTAAACGACTATTTCTAAATGTTTTTTGCTATTTTCTGAAGAAAAAATATCCTTTTGGTAAAGTAACCTAATAACGGTATTTTGAAGGTTTCGATTCTAATTATCCAGCTGAAATATAGAGTTTGGGGATCTCACTGGGTATATAAACTACGTTGAAAAATAATCAATTTGCCTATTATGAGGATAGCCGATTTCTTCACATGTCTAGTTTTCATTTTGTGGGACCCAACTGGCAAAAATTAGCTTTCCTAAGCAAGCTGATAGCAAGATATCTAATAGCTTACAATTTAAGCAATTGTGTCACTCCAGCAGCACCTTGTCTGTATTGGTGATGTGGCAATGTATGTATATGTATTAACCAGTAAAAAAAGTCCTAAAGTCGGGCGGGGCCGACTTTATGACACCCTACACCACTTTGCTAATTTAGTAGAGCTGCGCATAACAATTAAAAGTTTTTATGGGAGAATTCAATCATACACCCTATGATTATAATTATAATTTAAAGTTCAAAGGACTAAATATGCCGAAGCATTTGTATCTTTTAAATTCGGAATTGTATTGCCCATTTGGTACAAAATTAATTTGAAATCAGATAAAGATATATATGGGAGCTATATCCAAATCTGAACCCATCTCGATAAAATTTGGCAAAGGTATTTCTGAGCTGTATTTGATATATTTCCCTGAATGTCGTTGTTACGGAGTGGATATTACGGCTGTGGGTAACAAATATGACAAATCGGATGAACAGTATATATGGAAGCTATAGCTATATCTGAACCGATCTTCACCAAATTTGGCATGCTAGCTTCTAGACTCAATTCGGTCGCATGTGCCAAATTCCATCAAATTTGGACAAATATTAGACGTTTGGTGTACAATAAAAAGTAAATCGGACGAAGATATATATGGGAGCTATATCTAAATCTGAACCGATCTCGATAAAATTTAGCAAAGGTATTTCTGATCTGCATTTGATATATTTCCCCAAATATTGTTGTTACAGGGTGCAAATTACGGCTGCGGAGGACAAAAATAACAAATCGGATGAACAATATATATGTGAGCTGTAGCTATATCTGGACCGATTTCGATCAAACTTGGCATACTTATTTCTAGGCCTAATTTGGTTGTATATGCAAAATTCCATACTATTCGGGCTGATATTAGACGTTTGGTGCACAATAAAAGGCAAATCGGACGAAGGTATATATGGGAGCTATATCTAATTTTTTACCGATTATCTTCAATTTCAATAGGATTCGTCCTTGGGCCAAACAAATTTTGTTTGGAAAATTTCATCTCAAGAATACATGGACAGACGGACGGACTGGCATGCATAAATCAACTCAGAAAGTGATTCTATTCAGATCCTCAAAAGTAACTATGGGTCTATCTCGCTTCCTTCTCCATGTTACATACAAATGCACAAAGACATAATACCCTTACCACTATGTGGTGTAGGG